CTTCTTCTTCTTCTTTCTTTCTTTGTCAGGGGAAAGCACAAATGCAGCCCCCTACTACCACAAATTTTAGGTAGTTGAGTTTCCTGACTGGATAAACCACAGGGATCAGCACAGCCTTGAAGTGCACTGGCACAGTCTTGCCCTAGAGAGCCAGCTGCTGCTGCTGCTGCTGCTGCTCCTCCTCCTCCTCCTTCTTTCTCGTTATTATTTTGGTACCTGGGACTGAATCTAGGGGCACTTAACCACTGAGCCACATTGCCAGCCCTTTTTTATATTTTATTTAGAAACAGTGTCTCGCTGAGTTGCTTAGGACCTTGCTAAGTTGCTGAGGCTGGCTTTGAACATATGATCCCCCTGCCCTAGCCTCCCAAGTGCTGGGATTATGAGAGCCAGCTTCTTGATCATGGTATCTCCCCTGCCAGGTAAGTATGACATATTTATTTTAAAATTATAAACGTAATTGGAACATTTGTGCCTTTGTGGATTTTAGAGTTTAGGACTAGGCTAAACAAAAGTTGTGAATCAATTTAAAAGATTTAAATAAATGTCAATATATGGTTTATTTTTGACCTTGGCACTTTTATCTTCCACTACACTATCCACTCTGACCATTTTGTTCTGGTCTGTTTCTCTTCCTATTAGACTTTTTGAGCTTAGGAATTGTGCTTTGCTTCCTATAGGTTCCCTTCCTATAGAAGAGGGGTGGGTACACAGAAGGAGCTCAATAAGTGAATGAACATAAATTTTAATTAATGTGACTGTGCATTTTTAAAGGAAAGAGGGTCCATAGCATTTATTAGAGTTTAGGAATTATTGTCAACCACTGCCCAAGGGTACCCCAACTGTCCCTTTTAGGGTCATAGTGACCTATAGATTTGCCTTCCAAAGGGGTGAACACTGCCACTTAGCCACTTGGCCCTATGGTTGTCTATAAAATTTGAGCCTAGGGCTGAATTAACAGGTGGGACCCTGCTTATCCATCAGTCTTCTGTGAAGTGGGTTATGATGAGTCAGTCTCCTTGTCCATTCATATATGATCATGGCGAGGGATGACCCTGGCTTTCTTTGTGATGTCTCTGTAAGCAGTGGCCCCTAGATCCTGCCCTCTTCCCACAACCCACAAGCAAGCTCTGCCTTGCACAATTTCTGCTCTTTCATGCCCTTCCAGCTAGTGTAGAAACTTCCCAAGGGCAAAAAACCAGTTTTCTTTTCTAGGTCTGAGTGTTAAGATGTGCACTTACCTGAAGAGCCCTGGGTTCAAGTCTCAACTCTGTTACTTACTGGCTATGTGACCAGAAACAAATCACTTCTGTGTTTTCTCTAAAAAAAAAAAAAGTCAAGGAAGAATGAGACTTCGTTGGGTTATTTGGGAGGACTGGGGGGAGGCAGTGCCTATAGTTGCTTGGCACAGGGAGAAGCATGGAGCTCCATGAAGTGAGGGAATTTCAACCGACTTCTCCACAGGTACTTAACGGAGTATCCATTACATGACAGGTGTAGTGCTAGGGACCCTGAAAACAGCAGGTGCTCTCTTGTGTGAGTTAGCCTCTTCAGTGGCACAGCCAGAATGACATCAAGTGGCCTGCTTCTGACTCCTCTCCCTACACACTGCTGTGGTGAGCTGTAACTGCAGCATTGCCATCTTTGCCCTAGTGGGACTTACTTTCCAGGGGAGGGGGGAACAGATCACCAAGTGTATGGTTATGAACTGTGGGACATGCTCTAGGGTACTTTTTGTGCACAGAGTACTTTGAAGACCGAGTGGGGAGGATTCAAATCAGAGGGGTCAGTTACTTCTTAGTGAGTTACACTTTGTGAGTAAACTGGCTGCAGAGCCCTGAGGATGCGCAGCTGGGACCCTACCCTGCTCCTATCCTCTCCTTTCCTTATGTCCCCAGGGAATTGGAGCTTTTTTCTCAAGAGTAAGAGTGGAGGGTGGTAGGTGAGCTTAGGCTGCAGCCCTGTGGCCTGCCTGCCCTGCTGGGCCCGGCTGCACACACCCTCTAGTGGCCACAATGCAAGCCAGGCACCAGGCTGCATGAAATCCAAGGACAGTGGGACTGTCACTGACCTTCCCTTCCTGACACTGTGTCCATTCAGATGCAGTTTTCCTGTAATGAAGGCCCATTCTGGGTCCTCTCTCATTTAATTCTGGCAGCCATCTCTAGCATGATTCCCACTCCCAATTTACTGAGGTGAGCCCCAAGGCTTATAGAGTTAAGGGAGGTATTGAGGGTGGGCACTGAACTCAGGCCGACCAGACTTTGCTTTCAGTGCTTTTCAGGTGGCATCTTTCTCTACCCCATCCACAATGCCACATCTCCCAGTGGCAAAAACTGAGGCCAAATTTTGCTAAGTTAGTGCCCAGAAACAAAGGTGGTCCTCCCAGGCAGGCCACTGCTTCAGTATCTCCTGGGCTGGAGGCTGTGGAAACACAGGCACAAACATTTCTCAGAGTGCTCCCCAGGAGTTCTGCAAGAAGGGATGCCATTGTGCCTCAGGGAAGTACAGAGGGTGGAAGTGGGAGAAAGGAGCCACAGCTCACATTTTTGCCCCAGAGATATGAACCAAACATTTATGGCCAAAATTTGTGGCCACAGATCTAGCTGTGCCCTGAAGGGAGACCCTGCAGGCTACCTGCACCTAACCCTCCTCTTCTGGCAGTCCCAACCCCTTTATTTCCTATCACAGCACAACTCTTCCCCAGTCAAAATGGATGGGTTCAAATTCTGCTGCTGCCACTAATTAGAAACTTGTGTGGTTATTTTGTGCAGGGCTTTGTGTACGAATGCCCTGATGTATAAACTGGTGGTTCCAACCATCCCCATCCCTAGTGTTGAAAAGGGAGCTGGGGTCTCTCCCTAAGACATGTTGATTCAGTAGGTATAATATAGGTGGACCATATTCTGAAAATTGTTGCTCATAAGCGCATGTGCTCTCCCTCCCCTCCCCACATCACTTCCAGCTGTTGGGGTGATGCATATGCTGGTGTATGCCCTTCTGATTTGAGCACATTAACACACTCATCATTATCCTTATTTCAATGACAAACGAAATGGTCAAGCTCCTGTGCCTCAGTTTCCTTATCTGTACATATATACTCGTTAGGATTGTGTGAGTTATGAGACTAATTCCTGGTAATCCTTGGAAAATTGCCTTGCATAGTAAAGATCCAATAAGCATGTGTTATTTTTGTAATCCACTACCAAAGAAGCAAATACCTTTATAAAAGAAAATACTCTACATTTTGTTTCTCTTTGTATTTTAAGATGCAGTAATTTTCCAAGGGGGGAAAAGTGATGGAGGGGCCACTAAATGGGCTTCTGGAATGCACTTCTGGGATGCGGGTCACGTTGCATTTGGGGTGTTTGCTGTTTACTTGCGATTCGTGCATTTCGCAAGCACTATTACTATTACCTATGATCTCCATGGTTCTGTGAAGCACGCAGGCAGGCATCGTAACCCGCATTTTTCAACTAAAACTTAGGGTCAGGGCAGCTATTTTCGATTTGATCAAAGTAGTACGGGATGGGTGGGGCGGGCGTTTCTCAGTTCCGATTCTTCATTCAGGAGAGTAATAGCCTCTACTAGAGAAAACGGTGTGACTAGTACCTGGCTCCAGGTAAGGTTCAGCAATGGTTCTGAGCCTTTCCAGAGAATCCCGCCCTCCCCGCCAGAGCACACCGAGACCCGGGGACGGGACCGGGGTCGTCCCGCCACACATTCACTACGCCATCCCCCAGCGTGGCACCCGAGGGAGACCCGCGCGCCGGCGCCCCTGCGGCCCCGCGGGGGAATGGCGCCCAGCCCCGGGCCAATGAGAGTAGCGGAATTTCTTTCATTCAGCGCTGGGCCCCCGCTCCTGCCCGGAAAGGGGCGGGGCGCCGCGCCGGGGGTGGGGCCGCCGCGCGCCGGGGAGAGGGCGGTGCCGAGCCCGCGGTCCGGCCAATCGGCGCCACGCCCGGGAGGGGGAGGGGGAACCAGGCCTTTTTTCCCCTCCGCGCGGGACCAATCCCGACTTTACAAGCTTGAACTTTTGCCACCCTCGGACGAGCTAGCGCGCCCGAGGAGGTACCCCGCCGCGCCGGCTCCAGGGCAGGAGCGGCCTTAACCCTTCCCGCGCCAGGCGTCCGCAGTCTGCCTCCGCGCCCTCAGTCCCATCCCTAACTCACCTGCATTCTTATGGTGAAACATTGCTGGGCACGACCCCCTACCCACGCCCCTTTCAGAGGAGCAGAGAATAAATGGGGGAAAAGCGAGAAGGGAGCACCCAGTCTTGAGGGGTCCGGGGACGGCAGGCGTCCCGCCTCTCTCGGAAGGAGGGCAGTGGCGACTTAGAGGAGCCATGGAGGATAACACTCCTTGCCTCTACCCCACCCTCTCCAAGTCCCTACCTCCCTCTTGCCTGCCTGGAGCCCCCTTGCGCTTAGCGTCCCACGCCCCGGGTTTGGCCCAGCAGAGCAATACCCGACTCTGCTCCGGGAGTATGGAACCTTGGCATCTTCACGAAAACCCCGATACCCCAACATAACCGCCCTCAACTCCCTAGAGATGCAGGGCAGGAAGGCACACATGCACAACCATTTTTATTATCGTGCATTCGGATGGGGGTTTGAACTGACTCTAAAGTGCAATGTGGGTTTGTAAGCTTGTGCATAAACCAGAGAGAGGCAAAATGCCCCGTTTGCGCTAGAGTCTTGGTGGGTTCGCCGAGACCTCACGCACCCACGAATGGTTTGTGTACCCCTCTGTGTGTCCGTGTACTCCCCGGTATCCGTGCCCCGGGCGCACCGATAGCTGGAGAGCGAGCCGCGGGCGCTGTCAGGCCAGGGGCGGAGGTGCTGGGGCGGGCGTGGGGCGGGGGCCGGGGCTCGGCCCGCCCCGGGAGCCAGCCCCTCGGAGCCTCGGGCCCTGCAATGGGACGTGTTCTCCTTTAAGAGTTAAGAAACTTGAAACCTTGTTTGCGCAACAATCAGCGCCGCGGAGCCGCCAAAGTGTCTAGACTGGCATATGATGGGAGGCAGCCAATGACTCCGCGGCGCTCCTCCGGGGGCCCTCAGTGTGCGTTTGAGGAGAACAAAAAAGAGAGAGAGAGCCGAGCGGGGGAGCGAGCGAGGGAGCCGAGCCGAGAGAAAGAGCTGCCGGGCGCTGCCTCGCCAAACCTCGCAGGGACCGCGGGGCCACCGGGAGGCACTTTTGTGGAGGGGGGAGGGGGGGCGACCTCGGCAGCCGCGGCGCCCCAGCGTCCGAGCGCAGCGTGGGGCGGGCTGCGACCTCTGCCTCGGTGGATTGCGTTTTTAATTAAGGATTCCCAGCAGCTCTTTGGGATTTTTACAGCTTCCACTCATGTGTTGACACCCGCGTTCAGGAGAAACTCGCTCCAAGTGCATCTAGCTCCTGGGACCTGAGACGGAGTTGGCCTTTCATGCATGCAAATCCAGGGATTTGGATTTTGTTTGGGATTTTTCTTTCTTTCCTTCCCCCCACCCCTTCTTTCTTTTTTGCAGGGAGTTGAGGGTATCAACAAGCCTACCTTTCGGATCCTGCAGGAAAAGCCCATGTAGTTACGCGCTTGGGTTTTAAAGGCAGGGCTTTCCAGACACATTTGGGGGTTCGACGCGAGCGCTTTGTGCTCATGGACGAGCCGCGCAACTTTTGAAGGCTCGCCGGCCCATGCAGGGTCTTTCTAACTGCGCGCTGCCTGCAGCCCCCCTAAAGCGCGGGGGCTGGAGTTAGGCCGGCCGCCGAGATCCATGTAGCCGCTGGCCAAGCGCGGACTGTGGCTCGGCGCGCGCTTGTTCCCGGCTGTCCAGCCCGGGCGAGCTCCCTCATGTTGCAGCCCTGCTGTGCCCCTTCGACGACAGGCTGTGCGCGGTCTGCACGGCGCTCCGCGGCGGAGCTTCATGTGGGGCTGCGGCCCGCGCAGCCGGCGCCTCGCTGAGGGAACGGACCCCTGGTAACCGGAGACCGCCTCCCTCCCACCCCTGGCGCCAAAGGATATCGTATGTTCAGGTCCAAACGCTCGGGGCTGGTGCGGCGACTTTGGCGAAGTCGTGTGGTCCCCGATCGGGAGGAAGGCGGCGGCAGCGGCGGCGGCGGTGACGAGGATGGGAGCTTGGGCAGCCAAGCTGAGCCGGCCCCGCGGGCACGAGAGGGCGGAGGCTGTGGCCGTTCCGAAGTCCGCCCGGTAGTCCCACGGCGGCCCCGGGACGCGGTGGGACAGCGAGGCGCCCAGAGTGCGGGGAGGCGCCGGCGCGCAGGGGGCCCCCCGAGACCCATGTCGGAGCCGGGGGCCGGCGCCGGGGGCTCCCTGCTGGATGTGGCGGAACCGGGAGGCCCGGGCTGGCTGCCCGAGAGTGACTGCGAGACAGTGACCTGCTGTCTCTTCTCGGAGCGGGACGCCGCTGGCGCGCCCCGGGACGCTGGCGACCCCCTGGCCGGGGCGGCCCTGGAGCCGGCGGGCGGCGGGAGGAGTCGCGAAGCCCGCTCGCGCCTGCTGCTGCTCGAGCAGGAACTGAAGACAGTCACGTACTCGCTGCTGAAGCGGCTCAAGGAGCGCTCGCTGGACACGCTGCTGGAGGCGGTGGAGTCCCGCGGCGGCGTGCCGGGCGGCTGCGTGCTGGTGCCGCGCGCCGACCTCCGCCTGGGCGGTCAGCCCGCGCCGCCGCAGCTGCTGCTCGGCCGCCTCTTCCGCTGGCCTGACCTGCAGCACGCCGTGGAGCTGAAGCCCCTGTGCGGTTGCCACAGCTTCGCCGCCGCCGCCGACGGCCCCACCGTGTGTTGCAACCCCTACCACTTCAGCCGGCTCTGCGGGCCAGGTGAGCGTGCCTCGCGGGGCCAAGTGGGAGCCTAGCCTTCCCCCTCCCTGCACCCTCCTCTGGCCTCCTCTCTGTGCTACTGGGGCGGGCGGGCACAGCGGCTGGCGCTCACCCAGTGCCCGTGAGCGTGAAAGCTTCCAGGAGAGGTGCCTAACCTGGCTGAGGGGAGTGAAAAGGAGAGCCAGAGAGTGAATGTCTGAGGGCACAAATCAAATGGCAACTTCATTTTAAGGTTCCAGCAATGGCTACCCATATAATGGGTACAAGTTGGAGTTTTCTCTGTGCAGCTTCAGCTTCAGTGAGAGGGGAGGGCAGACCAAAGAGAGCCCCCCACCCCCTCCAAAAAATGGATGTCAGTCTTCCCACCACCCAATATCAGAATTTACTCCATTGGGTACCCAGGCTTCCAGCATTTGTATGCGCATGCACATGCCTATACCCAGGCTATACTTCTGTGAAGGTACCCATAAGTTGTGAAATTTGGCATATATAAATTATGGCTAGAGTGGAAAGTATTCATAAAATGTTCCACTTATTCTTTAGTACACTTTGCAGCAAAGCTTTTGTAGGGTTACTCCTCTCTCATTCCCAGCATCCCTTGGGTGTCAAATGCCAGGGTTCTCCATCATCACCATTCTCATTCTCTTGTGCTCCTTTTTCCTCTAGAGTTGAGGGTTCCTGAGGCTTCTGTGACTAGGTGAGGAAGCCAGGTATTAAGTTACCTCCAAGAACTGCACTCCCCTCCTTTGTTCTCCTCTTGGGATTTCCCCTGTACACAGCATCTCCAGCCTTCCTTACCTGGGCAGCCCCTGGATGCCGGAGCAGAAGTGAGGAGGGGCAGAGCTCTGGAAGGCAGGGAGCTTGCCATCCCCTCGATCTGACCTCTGCACTGTAGGGAACCTTCATTAGGTGTGTGTGTGTGTGTGTGTGTGAATCTATTGGGTGGCATTGGGGGTTTTGCAAGAATGGGGCCAGTAGAATTCAGGCTGTTGGCCCTGGGAGTTCTTCCATTCTGACCTCCTGGGAGAGAGTCAGCACCAGCCTGGGGGCACAGAGATGGTCAGATCACAGGACTCCCGGCTCAGTGTGGAAGGGGAAGGTGGGAGCCTGGATTTGTCCCAGGTGTCTTATATGTGTGGTTTTCGGGGCTGAGTGGGGGTAATTGCTCGAAGGGAAAGGAAGTTTCCGCTCAGTGGTGATTCCTGAATAGAGGACATTGATGGGTGTGTGTGTGTGAGAGAGAGAGAGAGAGGGGTGGGGCGGGGTGGAGAGACCTGTTCTCCGAATGGTCACTCCACACTGCCTTGGGCAGACCCTGAGTTGGGGTCTACACTGAGCTTCCTATGCCTGGCCACTCTTTTCAACAGCTTCCCCTGGAAGAGGCTTTCTCCCTTCAGTTATTCCTGTCTCCTCCCTGTCTTTGAAAAACGGGGCCCATATATGATGGTCTTGTTCCTGATTATTTTTCTAGTAGGAGATGGATAGTGGGGTCCACTCCACTCTTCTAGTAGGCCCTTGCAGGTACTTTCTCTTTCACCATGTCATTGTGTTGGCAAATGTTTGTTGAGCATTTAGTCTGTGCCAGGCACCGTGCTGGGTGCTGCAACTGGTGAAGTAGAAATGTGAGTAGGATCTACACCTTCAAGAAATAATCCTGGGGAGGAGAGAGAGATGGGAAGAGGAGAAGAAGCGCAGGGGGCAGGGGCAGGGTCAATGGTGTGAACCACTAGCAGTGCTGTAGGTGTGTTCATATAGAATCTGCCTTCAGGAGCTCCACACCTCTAACCTGGAGCAGCCTTGTAGGAAGGGTCAGAGGAGGAGCTGGCCAGCAGGGCCAAGAGGCCAGGCAAGCTCAGTTGGGTGGGCAGGAAGGCGAGGAGCAAAAAAACTTCGAAGGCAACAGACAATCCCATTCTCACTTCTATTCCTTAAACTAGGATTTGGCCTGGGCTGTGGTTTGAGTTTGGTAGTCAGTTGTAAGTTTGAAGGAGAACTGGAAACGGCAGTAGAATAGTTCTTAACCCTAGACTCTGGTCCTAGGCTCTGCCCAGCCAGTAACCAGCAACTTGACCTTGGATGAGTTACCTCCCCTCAAAGTCTCCCTATGGTTCAGTGGGGGTGGCTGTAGGAGCGTTTCCCAAGTCTAATTCTGGACTGAGCATTGGTTCTTGGCTTGCTTCTGCCCCCCAGAAGGAGGCGCTGTTGCAGGGGCAGCAGTGTCCCCAGTCTGTTCCTCTGCTTCTTTGCTTGCTGCTAGCCTGCGGGGTCGGGGGGTGGGGCCCACGGAGGCAGGCTGGAGAGACTGATGGCCTGAGGAATCTTCAGTGTGCGCTGGGTCGACCCTTTTGCCTTTCCTGGGACTGAGAACTGGGGAAGCCCTCTGCTGCCCACCCCACCCCCGCTGTCTGGCCGCCAGCCTGGCTCCTGAAGCTGGGCGGGTGCATAGCTAGGGCTCAGCCGTGCGCGCCCTGATAAGGAGACTGTTCTTTCCAGCTTGGGTGGGGGGAGGACTGGGGCATGGGACAGACAGACAGACAGACACTCACACAGAGCAGACGCATGGCTAGAGTAAAGTACACAGGAACACCCAGCATGGAAGGACTGAGGAACACCCACCTGGCACCAGTCACCAGTGTTCCTCCCCACCCCAGCCAGCCCCACAAGGAGCCCCAGTGACAGGAGGCCATTTCCTGGGCAGTGTGGACCCCTGCGGTTCAGAGCCAATCCTGCTTGTCCATCAGCTTGCTTTGAGGCAGATTTCCCTCTCAAGGCCTATTTTCCCATCTGTAAAGTTGGGGGCTGGACAGAGCCCCTGAGGTCTGATGGGTGCACAGGCCTTCCTCCCCTCCACTTGCCCTGGCCCCTGTGCTTGTCTCAGAAACTGGGGTCTGGGGTGGAGGGCGCACCCTGTGTGCCAGGCTCTGTGCTGGGCACTGCGTGGCCCCTGGGAAGTCAGGCCCCAGCTCAGCCTCCTTCCTGCCAGCCTTTCTGCTCAGGGCTAAGGCAGCGCGCTGAGCCCGGTGGGTGCCTATGTGGACGGAAATGTGGAGAAATACTTTAATCACAGCTCTGACCTGTGTTTATAGAGCTCCTTTCTCCTGAAAGTATCCATTAACTTTGGAGTAAATCTCCTGCTCTTTGCTTCACCACTTTTTTTTTTCTTTCTGTAATTATATTCAGTAAATTACTATTATCCAAATTGTGCCCGGGAAAGAGACAGAGTGAGAGAGTACTTCTAAACGACTGGAGGAGGCCGCCTAGGAAAACACAGGGTTCCCAGGCCAGGGCTGAGGAATTAGAACGGGCTAGAAAGTTTTCCTTTTATTTGGCCTGGCATTATCCCTTTGAAATGAGATCAATTTCAAGTTGGGCTTCCAGGCCCCCGCCCCGCCCGGCTCGAGGCCCCTAGGCCTGCCTGTCTGCTCCTCGCTCCTCCTGGAGGTGAGGAAGGGGTGATAATGTGCAGTTTGCCTCTTGCTGGCGCCAGCCGGCTGCGCTGTTTATCTGGCTGCGGGGGAATCTGGGCAATTAGGCTCAGCCGGCCTTAAAGTGCCAGGAGCTCCTTTTCTGTGTCTCCCATCCTGGGGCTTGGGGTTGAGCCTCTAGGTTCTGGGGGAGGAGGGGAAAGGCGCCTGGGAAGCCCCCTCCAGGTTCTCAGCCACCCCTTGGGAGGGGGAAAAATTCAAGGCCACGGAGCTATGTGAATCCTTTCCTAAGCAAGATGCTGAGCTGTAAAGAAGGTATAGTCCCAAACTGCTGGAAGGTAACGTCCCAAACTGCAGCTTTGCCAGGTGCAGGGAGAGGCTGTGAACTTTCCTCTGGCTTCAAATGTAGGTCTAGATCCCAGAAGGCTAAGTACCCCTTGGGGGCTAACCTGAGGCCTGTCTGGGCTGAGCTGGGCTGAGCTGAGCACCAACTTGGGTGCCCTCGGCCCCTGGCTGACTGCTTTCCCTTCTGAAGGAAGTTGGAGGAGATTCCTGAAGTGAATGCCTCAGGCTAGGTGTCTGCAGGGATTGGAGTTTCTGAAGCCTTTCTCTTTTTGTATTAGGTCCATTTCTTTCAGAGGGGCCTTCAGGGCACTAGAAGTTCTGTTCAGGTTTAGAGCATATAAATCATTTTAAAATCACAACTTTCGCAAGTTTTAGTATCTCTCCTAAGAGGGCAATAGACAGAGGGCCTATGACTCACAGGATCTCTTCCTGATCCTTTGTCTCACCTCTCAAGTGTCCCACCAGGTAAGGGTCCACCTTATCTGCCTAAGACAGTGTCCTGGAGCCCCATTCTTACAGATTCAGGGGGTGGGGCCTGGTTCCATGGAAGTGGAGTGGGAGTGGCAGTTAAGAATGATCTAGAATTGTATATAGCACATTTTTCTTAATGGCAAAATGGGGAAACAACCCAAATGTCCATTAGCTGATGAATGGATAAACAAAATGTGGTTCATCCACACAGTGGAATATCATTCAGCTATAAAAAGGAGTGAAATACTAATACATGGTGCAACATAGGTGAACCTTGGAGCATTATGCTGAGTGAAAGAAGCCACACACAAAAGACTACAAACTGTATGATTGCATTTATTTGAAACTTCCAGAATAGGTATTTGTAGAGACTAGTCAGTGCTTGCTTAGAGCTTGGGACTGGGGTATAGGAAATCACTGCTAATGGGGACAGTTTCTTTTTGCAGTAATAAAACCATCCTATAATTATATTGTGGTGATAGTCACACAACTCTGTGAATATACTAAAAATCACTAATTTGTATACTTTAAAAGGTTGAATCTCATGATCTGTGAATTATATTTCAAAAATGTTAAAAAGAATTATCTGGTATTGGTTTCCAACTGGCTTCCCCCTTTTTTCGTCAAAGTAGAATAGCAGCTGCAGTTACCTTCATGTGTGGCCTTGGGTAGGTCATTTTCCTGGCTGGACATCAAGTGTCCTATCAGTTAAATGGAATTGAGTAGACAGGCTCAGTGGTGCACACCTGTAATCCCAGCTACACAGGAGGATCACAAATTCAAGGTCATCCTGGGCAACTTACCAAGACTCTGTCTCAAAATGAAAAAAAAAAAAATGAAAAGCTGGGATGTAGCTCAGTGGTGGAGCACTTGCCTAGCATGCTCAAGACCCTGGGTTTAATACCCAATACTGAAAAAAACAAAAAACAAAGAACAGAAAAACAAGAGTTGGGCGTGGTGGGCCCCTAGGTAGGCCCCTTTCATCTCTGATGTTCTGGGTCCCAGTCTCCACTAGAGCTGGTAAACAATCTGTGCTGACTGCTTTGCTGGAGCCAGCAAGGGCCTGGTGAAGTTCCTCCTGAGAGCTTTTCTGTCTTTTGCTAGCTGGCATGTCTACATCATTTCAGGTTCATAGATTTTCTTTCTGTCTCATCGATGGTTTTAGAAACCCACAACCCAGGTGTGTCCCTGGGTGGTGTCAAAGCTCAAGGCCTAGGCGGCTTCTGCAGGGGGGGACTTCATGATTCTGTCCTGCCTTCCACCTTTTGATAAATAATCCCTGCAAGAGGTGCTAGGATTAGGAACAATGGCTTGACCATACCTGCCGCCTCCATTGCTTTGGGGATGAGGTGGAGGGTGGGACAGATGTCCTGAGCTCCATGTCGTGTGTTACTGGGCCTCAGCCAACCAGATGTTTTACCAAGTAACCCTAATGTAGGAATCACAGGCTTCCTGATAAATGTGTGGGGTAGTGAAAAGGTCGTGAGGCTGGAGGTCAGAGACTTGGCTCTGGTTCTGGCTCCACAACCAGGTCCCCAGGGAGGAACCTCCACTGGCCTGGCCTGTCTCCTCTGTATAGTGGGAGCGCTGGCCTCAGTCCTATTTTCCCTGTGGAGCTCCAGCCCTTCCTGTGACATACTCTTGTCCTAAGAGGCTGGCCCTCGCTCAGGACTGTCCTATGGGCCTGTGGACCAATGCAGTAGGTGGCTCTTGTGGAAAGCAGATAGCCCCTCTCGGTGAATCTTGTTTGGGGTCTCTTGTGGGCCCACCCGGCCTTGGCCCTCAGCTTCTCTCTCTCCACCTCTTTATCCAAGATGTGCCCAACTTCACCATATCCCCATCACTGATGCTTTTGTCCTCAAATATTACGTGAGCACTTTCTGTGCAGGTGGTGTGCTGGCCCCAGCAGGGACCAGGGCTGTGAGACCCGGCGCCGCCTCATTCCCTGGCTCATGGAGCAATGGAGCAGAGTCTGGCCTGGGCACAAATCCCACCTCCACCGTGATTGGCTGGGGGGCATGGGCAGGTCAGTTTCCTCATCTGTAAAACAGGGATAATAATGCCATCTAATTATTTATTTTTGTTTTTGAGGAAGGATTAAATACAAATAGGTGCCCAGCAAGCAGGATTAACCTGTGCAAACTGTTTTGCTGGAGCAAATGGGCTACTCCACGATTCGCCCCCTTCCTTCTCGCTAACCCCCATCCACAGAGAGTCCCTGTGTCTAGGCCTCTGAGCCTCCACTGTGTAGAGGCAACTTCTGGCTGGAAGGCCAGGGTGGAGAAGAGGTGAAGCCTCATTGGGTGTGTGGAGCCCAAGAAATGCTCCTAGGACTAATTGTGTCCCATTATAATTGCGAAAACACTTATTACCCCTGTGTCATTCCTGATACCCGCCTAATAATAGTTATTACCCCTTTATTACGGCAGAGTTTGCCTTCGTTTGCGATTTGATGGTGTTGAGTTTCATTTACGGAAAATGAAGGGTCATTTCATTCATGCAAATTGTTACTTAGTTTAGCAAATTGTTACTTCCCCATAATGCAAGAGGCTAAGAAATTCTTCTGAAGGCAAAGTATCTGTTTTTAAGGAGGATTATTTTAGGCAAATGAAAGGAAACACCATAGACAATAAGGAACCCAGGATCTGAGCTGGGAAGCCGAGTCCCACCCCTGCCTTTCCCTTCCAGAGCGGGAGACTGAGGCCGAGAGCTGGAAGCAATGTTTTGAGGCCTCCCGTTGAGCTACCTGAGCTAGGTTTGGCTTCCTGGGCCACAGCCAGCCCTGGGGTCCTCCTCCCTACACCCAGGAGTGTCAGTTCTTACGCAGCTCATCTGGAAACAGATTTCATGTCTGGGCCTTGGGATTCACCCTCAGCTCTGACGAGGCTTGCCAAATTTAGCCAGTAAAATGCAGGATGTCCAGTTAAATTTGAATTTCACATAAGCAACATTTTAGTATAAGTATATCCCCAATATTGCAAGGGATATACTTATACTAAAATACTACGTCATGTTTACCTCAAATTCAAATGTAACTGAGCATCCTGTATTTTATCTGTCACTTCTATCTCTGACTTCCCCTGCACCCATGTTTCTCTTGTATAATAGTAATAGGTACTATTTATGGAGGTGTTTTTCTACAGTGCCAAGAGCTGTGCTAAGCATTTTATATATATCATCTTCTTTTGCCCTCCCGGCAAAATTGGGAGGTCTCTATGATTATTATCCCCATTTTATAGCTGAGGAAACAGACTCAGAGAGGTGAGGTAACTGGCCTGAGCTCACACAGCCATAGGTGTCAGAGTAGGGATGGAGCCCAGGTCTTTCTGCACCCCAAGCCTCTGGCCTTAACTCATCCAGTAGATTTGGACAGTAGAGGTGGTGAGGGACATGGAGGGCTTCCTGAGGACTGAGGAAACTAATAGTGAGCCACAAGCAGAGCTCCAGGTGTGACCCCCCAGCCTCAGCAGTGACATGCTGTCTCCTGTCTTTCAGAATCACCGCCCCCTCCCTACTCTCGGCTGTCTCCTCAAGACGAGTACAAGCCACTGGGTAAGTGTGCCCCTCAGCCCTGGAGGGGAGGGTTGGTGGCTGGGTGGGGTCCTCTGAAATGGGATGAAGTTTTAGGAACACTCCCACCGTTGGGCCAAAGCCGACCCAACTTCTGCAGCCGGCTATTTACATCTTGAAATTCCAGGGCTCATCATTAACCTTTCTGTGACCTTTAAACATGGGCCTGTCAGAGATGAATGAGTTCTGACTTCAGCCTGTCGTTGGAGGTGGATTGGAATTTCTGGGTTTCTTGTCCTCTCTCTCCCTCCCCCTGCCGGGGCTGTTCTGCTGTAGTGTGTATTAATTAGGAGTGTGACAGATAAGTTGGACTTGAAGTCCTTCTTGAGAGGAGCTGTATGCCTCCCCACCAGCCACGATGTTCACCGGGACAAACAGGACAGCAGGAATAGGTAGGATGAATGTGTATTGGCACAAAAGGCCCTGACAGGCGCTGTCCCCTAGGTGAGCTTAGTGAAGGTGGCAGTGTCATTTTAGATAATTCCCCTCAGAGCCAGAACATGATTTCTGAAAACCTTAAGACTAAACTGTTAGCCTATCTACTGGGGTGGATGCCTGTCATTTTAAAAAGTAGATCTCGCTTGTTGCCTGGCCTTCTTGGCTGTCTCCAGTGGGACTCAGAGCACACAGTGGGAGCGCTGGACCCTGCAGGCTCCGGTGGCAGGTGCCGTAGTTTGGCCTTAACCGTCCAGGAGAGCTACTCTGTGACCCAGGAAGTTTCTGGAGGACGCCGGCTTTCGAAGCCAGATGGCTAAAGCATTCCCGAGTGACCGCAAAGAGTGGGTTTTGTTTTGCTTTTGGTAAAGGTATCTTCCCAGTGGTATGTGTCACCGCCATCTGGGAGGTCACTTCTTTATGTCACAGCCTCTCAGGGACTCACCCCAGTTTCCCCCCAACCCCTAACTTGTGAGGTCAGAAGTGCCCACAAGGTACCCTCAGAAGCTTGACCTCTGGCATGAAGGGCAGAGGCTGCCGTGGAGGGCGTGCAGATCCAGGTGCACCGTGGTGGCTTCCCCACTTGTTCCAGAAGCAGGATCATCCTGTGGATGGGGGACCTTATGTAGTTCTTCAGGGACCTGGCACATTCACCTGTCGGGATGATGAGGAGGGGGGCTGAGTGATGGGGCAGGTCACCCTGCCAAGGGGCAACAGGGCTCAGGCCCAACCCCAGAGCAGTCCCCATTCAGGTCCAGAGTGTCCCGTGCGTCACTCATAGGCTCGCCTCAGCGTCATCGTTCGTGCATTAGTTGCTTAGAAGACCCCTGATCCCGTTAGAAGGAAGAAAGAAAAAACAACAACAACAAAAAAACATGCCTCAAAAGTTTGTAGTGAGTGTGGCACCTGGGCTTAACCATCCAGACCACTGCCCCGAGGGACTGTGGTCAGGAGCCCAGGATAAAACAGCAAAAGCCAGAACACCGCCCAGCCCTGTCGAGGGAGCATTTGGAAACCTACAAGTGTCCCCATTATTTTACAAATGGGACAACTGAGGCTCAGATGGAGGAGGTGACTTGTTGGGGGCTGTTGGAGCTCAGCCCATTGCCTGTTTTTATATGACTTGTGAGCTATTTAATTTTTAATTTTTTAAAATTTTTAAATGGTTAAAAAAACATATCAAAAGAAGAAGAATAGGGGCTGGGGCTGGGGCTCAGCGGGAGCGCACCTGCCTGGTGGGTAAAAGGCACTGGTTTGGTTCTCAGCACCGCATATAAATAAATAAATAATAATAATAAAAAAGATCATCAACCACTAAAAAAGATTAAAAAAGAAGAAGAATATTTCCTGGCTCATGAAAATTTATATGAAATGCAGATTTTAGTGTCCAAAAGGAAAGTTTCACAGGAACACAGCCACGTGTGCCCTTTTCCACTTTGTGGTGGAGTTGAGTAGCTGTAACAGGCTGTAGAGCTTGTAAAGTTAAAGAAACACACACACACACACACACACACACACACACATTTGGTACCAGGGATTGAAAATTGAAGCCGGGCGCGCTTAACCACTAAGCCACATCCCCAGCACTTTTTATTTTTGAGACAGTGTCTCACTAAGTTGCTGAGGCTGGCTTTGAACTTGCGATTCTCCTGCCTCAGCCTCCCCAACTATTGGGATTACAGGTGTATGCCACCACACCTGGCTAAGTTGAAGATATGTATTCTCTGGCCCTTAAAAGAAAACAGGTGGTGGCCCTGATATTGCCAACTATTCGCCGGTGGGGGGGAGACTTGAAGCTGGGGCTCCAGGTTCTGCCCAGAGCCCCTCCTCAGGCTTGGGCAGTGTTGGAGCTCGGGAACGTCCTTTATTTAACAGCCCCTGTGTCATGGCTGCCCACCCCCGAGGCCCTCATTGGAAATGCTAGATGAGAGGGTTTGGGAGGGTATGATAGCTGTGAAAGGTGGAAGGCACCTGCCTTTCCAATTCCTCTGGAAACTTCTCTGTGGGTCGGTCAGGACAGGCCAGGGCTCAGGCCATGGTGGTGCTACTTCAGATGTAAAGTGGCAGCAAAGCCACCGAGCACTTGGGAACATTAGGTGCTAAAAGTCCTTTAAGAAGTTCCCACTTAGGCATTGAGGTATTTTTTTTTGTTTCTTTGTTTTTTAAAGATTTTCCAAGGGCATTTATTTTCCTCCTAATACTACTAGCAGATAACTTTTTTGTTCCCTGATAAATAGTCTGAGGGTTTTTTTTTTTTTTTTTGTATTATTTTCTCTTCCTTGCATTGTTGCTTTTTCATAAACAAAAAGTCAGTTCACTTCTAAGCCTCTGTGATCACATGAAACCAAGAAAACAAAATAAAACCCAGAGTACTCAGTCAGCATCTGGCAAGTGGGAAACAACAAAAAAAAAGGCCAAATTGGTTAATGTTTCATCTTCCCGCTCCCCAAGCCATGTGGTAAAAGGGAAAAATTCCTGCAAGATGGAATGGAATTCTAGTTAGCTCAGGCCTAAGCTAATGGTTTTGTCCCAGGAACCCCTGGTCCCCGAGTGGCTCTGCTGGGCCAGGTGGGGCCAGGTGGGGCCAGGTGGGGCCAGCAGAGCCAGATCCAGGTTGTGCTGGGTCAGCGGAAAATGAAAATGCTGCAGGTTCCGGGGACATGCCTCCCAACTCCTGGACAGGCCTGTCCCTTAATGGGGACAACACCCAGTCACTGGTAGCAGAGGCCCCGACCCGGGAAAAACTTCTCAAGTCTACTTGTCCCAAAAGGCATCAGTTTGTCAAGGTAGCAGCTCAGTGTTCAAGAGAAAATGTGCTAAAGAATTTCCCTTCCCATCTAACCGTACTGCAGACAGGACAAGCCAATAATGAGTGCCATATGAAGTCCTTAAACCTACCGCAAATAAAAATAAAAAACAAGAAGGCCTTAAAAAAAAAAATCCAGGCATTGAAAGTCACATGGTGAGCATGTTAGGGAGCAGGAGAGAAGAGAGAGAGCAAGGGGAAAAAAAAAAAAGTTAACCTGGGAGCAAATGCTTGAGCCCTTAATTAGAGGGGTGTGAGTGGGACCGAGAGAAGATGGCTGCTGACTTGTTAAAACAGTTTCCCCAGTGCTAGCAGGAGGGAGGGAGGAAGGAAGGAAGGAAGCAAGAAGGAACAACTTCAAGAATTTTAATGGTTGTAATTAAGTACAGCAACTATGAATTGTTTAGGGGCTTAATTTACCCTTACCCAAGAAGGCTCCAAGTTGCTACTTGCTAGGTCCCCCGAACTTGGCTGATTTCTGTGGTCAGAGCAATTGGAACTTTTCCAGGTGCCGGGGTCAACAGCATCCAGCCGTTTCCAGAAGAGTTCCAGGGCTGGCCAGCCTGGAATGGGGTTACAGAGTAGCCTGAGAAAGCTGTGGGGGACACACTGCCCTGTGCATGGACACACATGCCCACGCCAATGCACGCTCGCAGGTCCCTGAGAAAGAAGAGGAGAGCGCACGGAGCCCAAGGCCAACTAAGTTCTCTTTTCTCTTCCCCCCCACAGATCTGTCCGATTCCACATTGTCTTACACTGAAACGGAGGCCACCAACTCCCTCATCACTGCTCCGGGTGAATTCTCAGGTTGGCATTGTTCTCCTGGGGTCGCGGTCTTGTTGAGCTGTGTCGCGGGATGGGTGCGGGGAGCTGGATGGAGGTCTTTGGATTTCTTCTCCCCTTTTTGGTTCTTTTCCTCTCACCCCTTGGGTGGAAAACGGCCAGTGTTTTAATTGCTAGTGTTCTTGGGCTTACGAGCTTCTGCGTGAGTGAAACCTGAAGCTGGCAACTGTTAAAGAGCCTGTCGACCACGTTTTAACCGGTTGCGTCTACCTTGTCTCTCAGGGAAATGATAACAGCCAGCAAAGCTCCGTCGCTCCCTTGAGAAAGGGATCCTGTTCCTCTAGCTGCGGGAGGCAGCCAGGCAGATATTATGCCTTTGTCTTCCTCCTGTTCCTACTCCTGGGGAAGAGCCCATGTGAAGGGTCAGCAGAGGGAGAATGAGTAGGTTTGGGTGAACTTGCAGGAGGGTCGGGCCAGTGAGGAGTTTGCTAAGAGCCCGTGGCTCCAAGTTCCATCCTGATCAGAGGATGCTAAGATAGGAAGTGGAGGGAACCTTGGTTTAGTGCTATCCCCTGACTGTCTAACGGCCCCAGCCTCTGTGTATTTCAAAGTCCTGTGGGGACCCCCACATTTGATAGAATAAGGTGTCCCTGAGTCCTGAGAAGTTGGTGGTGAACCAGGGGCATCAGGGCAAGAGGGGACTCAGGTGGCAAGGTCTGCAGGGTCCTTTGGGAACTTGGCAGGTGAGGACAGCTGGGATTGGGGCCTGGCTTTCTGCTGGGCGGGGCTGACAGCCCTTGGGCTGGGTCTGTTTGTCTGCCTCAGAGCTGTAATTCCCCTTACCCCACGCCCATGTCATACAGCAGTGCAGCGGGAGTGACCGTGCTGTTCATGGAGTGTTTACTGTGGTGGCCTCCACTCAGCTACTTTACATGTATTATCTCAGAACAGCACCAGGCTTGGGGGACTGAGGGTAAAGTCGCTCACCCAGGGTCACTCAGTGGCACAGGCACTTATGTCCAGGGTCTGTTCCTCAGCACTGTTGGGGTTCCCTACTCTTCTGCAAGTGGGGACCAGTGTGCCTTCACTAAAAGCATTTCCCACAGCATTCTGTCTATGGTTCCCCCTGACTCTAAGGGTGACACATCACTGGCTGCTTACAGCCACCTGACTGTTCCCTAGCCAGAGCCCTTCCCTATCCATTCCTGGTTTTCACCAAAATTGTGGGAGACCACAAGAGCATGGCTTTCTCAAAGACCAAGACACAGGGAGCTGAGGCAGGAATGTGACTTGCCTGGGATCACGCGGTGGGCTCAGGGCTCAGCTGGTACAAGAGTCCGGGTCTCCTGGGTTCTACTCCTATCTGCCTTCTGGTCTCTGGAAACCCCTTTATTTGGCTGCTTCATTCTCTTCTCTGCATTTTAGGCCTATTTGGTTGTAATCTCTTTCCCTCAAAGACCAAGCCAGATGAGCACAAGGAGTTAACATTGCAATCCATTCTTTTCCCTCTGCACCTATGCAGGTGAAAACAAGCAAGGGGCTTAAAAGTATTTTTGAATGTATGATTTTGTATCATTGCCAACCCCGAGGGTAAATTAAATGTCAATGGATTGTGCGGGCAGCAGGGGTCTGGATGGATGGGAACTTTCTTGTTCCCTTTTCCCCTGTTGTTAATGGTGGGAACTTCCATGTGTATTTCACAGTGTTTGCAGATAAAGTCTCCTTTAATCTAGTTGTCTCTACTGGGGCCTGGGGTCAGCTCTGGCTGGAAGGAGCAGACCCCAGAGCACCTACAGGAGGCTCCTCCCCTAGTCTGGTGTCTAGGAGAGAGCGCCCTCTGGAGGTTGGGAGGCCTGCGGAGACTTCCACTCTAGACCATTAGGTTTGTCTGCTTTGGAGGCCCAGTGGGACTGTGTTTGGGATTTCTGCACAGATGTCTCAGAGAATAGTCTTTAGTGCTGGACAGTGAGAATTCCAGTGATATATCTTGATTGTATGGTTTTCATGCAAAAGAAATTGTGTTCAGGGGCTGGAGTTGTGGCTCAGTAGTAGAGCACTTACCTGGCATGTGCAAGGCCCTGGGTTGGATCCTCAGCACCATATATAAATAAATAAATAAATACAAAATAAAAGAATTCTAAGGGGTGAAAGATTTGGGGGCCAATCTGGGATTTCCTATGGCAGGGGATGGAAGGAAGTCTTGATAGGCGTTGGTGTGAGTTCCAGGTGGCCCTGGACGGTGGGTAGAGGGTTCCCCTCTGGGGTCATGCAGGCCCTTTCAGGTATGACATGAGTCCTGTCCAGACTCATGGCCCTGGAGCTGTGCTGACCATCACACTGGAGGACAGGCTCAGGGAGACTGGCAGGTCTTGGTGGATGGTGAAGTTCATGTGGAAGATGAAGGGCAAGGAGGGGGTGGGGTCAGAAAGGGGAGGGGCTGAGGGGGGGGCCCAGTGTTTGGGGTCAGGCCAGGAGACTGGATGTTCAAGAACAGGTAATAATGCTGATGGTGCTGATGATGACAACAGTTGACACTGGCACTCTGTGACAGCACTTTTATAAGTGCCAGCCATTCTCCATTTCATTGATTCCTTGCTGCAACCCAGCCAGACAGGTGTGATTCTTCCCATTGTACGAAGGAGGTGACCGAGGCTTATTGCTGAGCCCCTGCTCAAATTCCCCTATTGTAGGTGTCAGGCTTGGGAGGTGAGCCTAGGCAGTGTCGTTGCCCAGCCTTCCATAGCAGGAGCCCTTTCCCCTCCCTACACCAGACCCTAGTGGGGATTTGGGCAGAGTAGAGTGATCAGAAGGAGCCCGGGGGCACCCTGACTGATTTGAGTACCAGGGACAAGGGTGAGGGACTGGCAAGAGGCCCAGGGCTCATGTTCACCCAGGAGTCAGCTGGGCACCCTTATGGATCACAGAGAGCCAGACCACCAGCCAGGGCCCCTGTGTCTCCCTGTGCCCTGAGGAAGTCGGTCCTTCTCCTTGTCTCAGGACAGGCATCTTGTTCAAGCAGTGTCTGAGGCCCCAGGACAGAGACCTCCCTGTTTGTCTTGCACAATGACAGTCCCAGTGCCTGGCCTGGAGCTGTCTATGCTTCACTTTTCTGTCCTGCTGTTGAAGCTACTTGGGGGAATGATGGGGATTTATTTTTTTTTTTGGTACTGGGATTTAATGAGAGTGAGTGCTTAACCCCTGAGCCACATTCCCAGTTCATTTTATTTTTTTGTTTTGAGACAAATTATAATAATAATAATCACTAAATTATTTTGGGTGTGGCTGTTTCAGAGGCTGGCTTTGACCTTGCGATCCGATCCCACTGCCTTAGCCTCCAGCATCGTTGGGATTTCGGGAGTGCACCACTGTGCCCAGCCATGATGGGGATTTTGAGGCTCAGTCACAGGCCTGGGAGGGCTGTATTGGTGGGCAGGGTGGGGGCATCAGGAAAAGAGACTATCTCATGTCAGCTGTCTACTGAGAAGTTGACAGAAAACTCATTCCACATCTGCATCAGCTCCTAATCTGGGTCCACGATCCTCACTAAACAGACCAAAATTTAAAAGCCAGAGGGGGCAAGTGACTGTGGGCACAGAGCTTTACCAGATCTGAAGACCCTTAAAAATGGAGTCTCTGGTGGGATTTGAGTAAATTGAAAGCCGAGAGGTCTCTTTGGGGTGCCTTGGACTCTGGTGCCTAACTCAGTGTCTAGAGTACTGTCCTCTACAGTCCCCTCAGGCCAATCTTCTTCATTGCAGCATTAATACTCTTCTCCCATTCCCTTGAATTCCCATTCAGTCTGGGGAGTCAAGCAAGATGTACCAGTTAAAGAAATTCATACTGGGGCTGGGGCTGTGGCTCAGTGGTAGAGTGCTTGCCCCTCATGCATGAGGCACTGGGTTCAATCCTCAGCACCATATAAATGTAAAATAACGATATTGTGACCACCTGAAACTAAAAAATAAATATTAAAAAAAATAAGGGGCTGGGGTTGTAACTCAGTGGTAGAATGCTTGTCTCACATGTGTGAGTCACTGGGTTCAATTCTCAGCACTGCATATAAATAAATGAATAAAATAAAGGTCCATCAACATAAAATATATTTTTAAAAAAACCAAGAAATTCATATTAAGTGTGAATGACTGGTAGGATTTTTTCTTTTTTTAATTTGAAGGCAGAACTGTAGGTTGAGAGACCCTATGGGACAGAGTGGGCATGAAACAGGAGCTTTATGTCCTGAGTGAGAGTAGAATCCTGGCCAGGCAGGGTGGGTGCTGGGTGAGCTCTGAGTCATATATGAGAGCCTGAGTTGGTGGGACATCCTGAGAACCAGGCATTCCTGACTCCATGCTCTGGGGCCTGGTAGGGCACTGGGCACATTTTTTTTTTCTGTAATGGGACCTGAACTCAGGAGTGCTTTACCTCTGAGCTATATCCCCAGCCTCCCCAGCTTTTCTTTTAAATTTTGAGACAGGGTCTCACTAAATTGCTGAGGCTGGCCTCAGACTGGCAGTCCTGCTGCCTCAGTCAACTAGGATCACATGTGTGTCACTGCCCCCTGGGCAGCCTTCTTTAGGACCCGTGGTTACTATCCAATCTTAATCTCATGCCTATTGGACAACCAGTCAGATGCTTTGTTAAGCACCCACTGTATGCAAGGCATGGTGTAAGCTGTTCATCTTGGAGACCAGGTGGGCTCCTCTGGTGACCTTGGCGCTGTGTGTTGGTTGCTCAGTCCCCACGAAATGCTGGATTCTTCAGAGCTCCATCAACGAGGGTATGTCCCTGGTTTTACAGAGCAGGCCCAGGGAAGGGAGGGAGCCACGCATGACTGGTGAGCTGGGCATGGAGTCTCTCCTCCACCAACTTGACGGCAAGCTCCTTACGGGCACAGGTCTGCCCATCCATCGTTTCATTCTTCAGGTTGACAGAGGCTCAGAGGGGTTAGGAGACCAGCTGAGGACCATGGAGCAAGCATAAATGGGTGGATCCAGGTCCCCTCCTAGTTGGGTCCGTGCTGCTCC